CAAGGGTGAAACAGATCACCAGCCCAGGTTGGATGCATGAGACAAGTGCTCAGGGCTGGTGCACTGGGAAGACCCAGAGGGATGGGATGGGGAGGGAGGTGGGAGGAGGGATCGAGATGGGGAACACATGTAAATCCACGGCTGATTCATGTCAATGTATGGCAAAAGCCACTACAATATTGTAAAGTAATTAGCCTCCAACTATTAAAAATAAATGGGAAAAAAAAATCAGTGTCAAGAGACAGGTTCGCTAGAAGCAAGTGACAGGACAACTACAGACGAGGCAGCACAGCAGCCGTGAACAGCCCTGCTCTTGGTTTGGGCTTTCCCTGTGTCTAAACTGCCCTGCACTCACAGCAAAATCAAAACATGCGTAAAGAAAAATGATTAAGTAAAAGGAAAATTCACTTAAAAGAAACTAAAGGAAAGTAGATGGTGAAAGAATTAAAACTAAAAATTTCAAGAACAGTCAGAGAAGAGAGAAAAACATTTACAATAAATTATAATAAGTAAAAAGAAAGAATTTAAAGATAAAAATTAATTTGAGGCCAAAACAGAACTCAGATAAAAGGCTAAACATATACAGAAGAGTTATAAGAGGCTGAAATGTGAAACTAAAACAGAACTGAGAGCCAAAGACTCAGGCAAGAGAAGCTTTAAAAGAAAATATCAAAGAGATTTGAAGGCAAAGGTGAATAAATAAAAATATCCCAAAGGAAAGGAAAAACGAGTCAATGTTTCTGGGGTGGGCACAGCATCCTCTGATGAGACAGTCTTCTTCTGAGTACAGGGTCATCACGAGTACAGGTTAAAGGGGTACAAGCAGGCAATTCACCAGCTTCCCAGGTGGCACTAATGGTAAATAACCTGCCTGACAATCAGGAGGCTAAGAGATACAGGTTCAATCCCTGGATTGGGAAGATCCCCTGGAGGAGGGCATGGCAACCCGCTCCAGTACCCTTGCCCGGAGAACTCCATGGACAGAGGAGCCTGGCAGGCTACAGTGCACAGGGTTGCAAAGAATGAGACACTACCGAAGTGACTTAGCATGCACACGTGCGCACGCACACACACACACACACAAGCTAGTCTACCCTCTCAGCTGTCTGTGAGCTCCAGAAAGCTGTGTCTTTGTAGGCAGCTTCAGTTAACACAGCCTGGTAATAACCAATCAGCAGCTGAGGTATCCACAGCAGGATTCACTTCCACAAAGTTTACAGAAAAAAACACCCAAAGTTTTATTAATAAAACAGAAGTTTCTTTAAAACTGTGGTTTCAGGACCTCAGTATCAGCACAGATCAGCAAGGCATCTGCACATGAAATCATCTTCATGACAATGTTAAGATGCTACTTCCCTTTCCACTAGCAGTTACTACATTCTTCACCCCCCAGCACTCCCCAGCACGGGGCACGTGTAATCAGGAAAGTTCCCTTAAGCAGAAATGATTCTGAGATGTCCACCCATGAGTGCCCATCTGTTTAAAGTTCTGTTTGAGGAAGCACACATATAGCATTCTTGTGAGAACCACTTGTGCTATTTCAGTTGTGAGCTACCCTAGGCACTTTTTCTCAAATAGTATCATTTCTGCTTCAAAGAACAAAGGACAGAAAGGCAATAGTAACCCAGACTGGAGTATTAGGCAGGCTCTCTCAGAAAAGGACAAAGTGAACCTGTCACTTCAAAGGAAGTGACAGTATTTGTTACTAGTGGTAAAACTTCAGGTCTCAAGAGAGAATCATAAATTTTGGGGAAACTGGAATCCAGCACCTCAAGCCTTCTACTCTTCCCATATATAAGTGCTTCTCTGATAAGAAGAGTGGTGATGGTAACAGAATGCCAATGTAAATCAATCTCTCAGGATGTAATCTACTATTCCGTATTATTTAAAAGGCCTCCAGGTGATGTTTGAAGCTGCCCCAGAGGTTCCATGCTAAGCATTCCCACAGGTAACAAACATCCCCAGAGGAGTTTATTAAAAGACAGCTCACTAAATGGTAAGCTCCAGCTTATGAAATTATAATAATAATATAATAATGCCCATTCTGGACTAATCATTCACTAATAAGGTGATCAGTAACATCTTGAGGTATTAATTTGTTCACCTGTAAAATGTAGAAAATACATCCACAAAACGTCATTCCCAAAGATCAGAGAAAACGTTGGATGTGAAAGCCTTGCACAGTACCTGGCAAGGTCAGGCAACACAAATGTGTTGGTATGTTAGGAGAGATTAGATGAACTACAGAATCTCACAAAGGGAACGGGTAAAACAGCACTCTGGATTCTCTGGAATCTGTGTGGCGCTCAGGATGCAGAAGAAGAGAAGCAATGGGCAGTTAGGTACTATTGAGCATTTCTAGGAGACAGCTGGGCTTGAGAACAGTTACCATCTCAGAAGCTATGATACTTAGCTATAGGTCATCATCCGAGTCAAAGACCTACCTGTCATAGCTAAAATGCAGTTAAGTAACTTTATGACAACCATTAATATTATTAATTTAAATCCTCTTGCTTTGATTCCACAGTCATCAGGAAATCTTTTTCTTCATAATTTGGCTTCTCATGCAAAATTTTTTCCTAGATCAGTGACTCAACTATCCTATCCCAAAGTAGTCTCTCACTACAATCCAAATTATACAGAGAATCAAATCCTAAATCCCTAAGTAATCTTGTTTATAAAGATTAATTTTTCCCCATGCATTTAAAATGACACTAGAGACATACTATCCTTAGGAGGATTAAGAAAAATTATCACAAATCATTTTCTGTAGACTTAATTCTCTCTATAAAACAAACTGGAAAGACTGATGAATTAACACTCCAGTGTTAATTGTACCCTTGACTATGATGGATCAATCCAGTAGCCTCTAGGTTCAACGATAAGACAGGGTTTGTAAACCTGGACTGCACCTAGATAAAATCAGGCTTATCTTGTCACGTTTTGTAGCACAAATGCAGTTTAGTGTCACAAAGAGACAGGCCCCACCAATAAAACTTTTTTGATGATGGGATTTATACCCTGTCAAACTAGAATCAAGATTGCCAGGAGAAATCTCAACAACCTCAGATATTCAGATGACGCCACCCTTAATTATAGAAAGCAAAGAGGAACTAAAAAGCCTCTTGATGAAGGTGAAAGAGGAGAGTGAAAAAAGCTGGCTTAAAACTCAACATCCAAAAAACTAAGATCATGGTCATCCAGTCCCATTACCTGGCAAATAGATGGGGGAACAGTGGAAACAGTGGCTGACTTTATTTTCTTGGGCTCCAAAATCACTGCAGATGATGACTGCAGCCATGAAATTAAAAGACGCTTGCTCCTTGAAAGAAAAGCCATGACAAACCTAGACTATGTATTAAAAAAGAGAGATATCACTTTGCTGACAAAGATCCATATAGTCAGTTTTTCCAGTAGTCACGTATGGATGTGAGAGTTGGACCATAAAGAAGGCTGAGTGCCAAAAAATTGATGCTTTAGGATTGTGGTGCTAGAGAAGGCTCTTGAGAGTCCCTTGGACTGCAATATCAAACCAGTCCATCTTAAAGGAAATCAACCCTGAATATTCACTAGAAGGATTGATGCTGAAGCTGAAGCTCCAATACTTTGGCCACTTGATGTGAAGAGCTGACTTACTGAAAAAGAACCTGATGCTGGGAAAGACTGAAGGCAGGAGGAGGAGGAGCGGGCGACAGAGGATGAGAGGGTTGGATGGAATCACCGACTCAACGGACATGAGTTTGAGCAAACTCTGGGAGATGGTAAAGGACAGGGAAGCCTGGCCTGCTGCAGTCCATGGGGTCACAAAGAGTCGGACACAACTGAATGACTGAACATGCATGCAGTAAAACTGTAACGAAAAGCAACAGTCTGCTTAATATACCACCATTTCAAAAGTTTTCACTTAACAGGTCAAATATAAATTTTATGATACATATTTAATGTATTCATTAGAAATAATGAATTCTTTATTAAAACACGGTAAAAATACTTCTAAAATCTACACCAAAGAAACAGAATTTCATAGGTCCTGCAGATTGTAGACAGGTAAGAGACAAAGTTAGAGCCAAAGCAGCTAAATTAAAATCCAATGACATCCTTGAAAAACTCATCCTATCAACAGAAACTTCTACAGATGTTTTTTCAGTGTCCTACAAAAATATTTTTCAACCTCTTGATTCACTGCTGACCAAATAAACAGGACATCCCTTTTCTAATTCAGCACTTAAACATTTTTAAAAAGCACATTTATATGTTTTCAAAGAAAAAACCTGGGAAACATTTAAGTGGTTCTTATAAATAGCTTCCCTAATCCAACACTACGGAAAGAAGAAAGGAAACAGAGGAGGAAGGGCCCGACCACCATGCTGTGCTGGGCTGAGTCACTCAGTCGCAAAGGACTCTTTGCAACCCGTGGACTGCAGCCCGCCAGGCTTCTCTGTCCATGGGGATCCTCCAGCCAAGAATCCTGGAGTGGGCAGCCGAAATCCCTTCTCCAGGGGATCTTCCCGACCAAGAAATCCGACTGGGGTTCCCTTCATCACAGGTGGATTCTTAACCAGCTGAGCTACCAGGGAAGCCCCCAACCCCCCATGACTCCCAGATTAACAGGTTCTGTAGAGTATAAAAAAGGTGATGCTGCAAACTCCCAGACAGTACACTCTACTCCTGCGAATACTTAGAAGAAATTTCTGGAACACAGATACTCAAAATCAACACTTCAAGTGGAAAAATGGAAAGAAGGTTAGCAAACAATGCTATCAGAGGCAGACAGCTGAGGCTTAACATGACTAAACCTCTAGAGAAGGGCAGCAGGTGAACCTTAATGAAGCAAAGTATCTTACAGAAGCTTCAAGATGACTAGGTGAATCCTATACTACTTATTTCTGGTGCTGAAACAGTCATTTCAAATGCAATATCAAAATTTAAAGTTTATATGTAGCTTTATTCTACACTTTGGTGAGCAGCCCAGACAGGAAATGAAATGGAAATTTACTCACTATAGTAACCATACAGTACAGTGTCCTCGATCTGTCTGCTGACGTTCGCATTGGCCCAGTCCTAGGACAAAAAGGAAACAGAAATATTAATGAAACATCTAATTGCTTAACAGTTATACTTAAGTCTTAATATGATCACATATCACTTTAAAATGTATCATCGACACCGACAGGTATGGTCTGTGCCTTCAAGAAGTGAGGGACAGATGAGTAAAAAGACAACTGCATTAGCAGGTAAATGTGAGCGAGCATGAGCAGGTGGTTCTGAGGAGGTTCAGGAGATGGAAGTCAACCGTCAGGGGTGGCGTCCCAGGGCAACTAAACAGGGTCTGAAAAACACGGCGGGAAGGCGGGAAAAGAGGGAAGGCACATACATGCGGGAAAACCCGCAAGAAGCAAAATCCAGACTCCCTGGAGCTCCTGGAAGGGGACGAGGAAGCAGGAGTGAGGGAGGGGAGGGGCAGGCGTGAGGACATGTGAGTCGGCTGAAGCACTCTGGTCTCTGGCCGGAGGGCAACGGGAAGCAGCAGAACACTGCGATGCAGAGGGACCGGTATGATTTGCAACTTAGAAACAAGATATTCAGCATAATATACATTTAAAAATACCTAAAAGAAGGAAATTAAACTCCTTTGCATTCAACCCAATTATTTTTTAATTAGCAATTTTAGAAAATTAATTCAAATAAATCTCAAATTTTAAAAAAACTACATTAATTAATTAGAACTGAGGTATAATAGCAAGTCTTTTTGAATACCCTAATTTTACACATATAAAAAATTAAACCTGGAGAGTCTATGTGACTTGCTATTAAGTAACAAGGCTCATTTTAGTATTCAGGTCAATTCTATTCCATCAACACTTTAAGAATCCCACTTACAAGTCTTTTAAGGCTGAAGAGTAACATTTAATTATCCTAAAATAATTTAGGTTTTTCTTTTTTTCCCCTTTTTCACTTATAAACACCTACAACAAGGATCTATGAATTTCTAATTGAAAAATACCTAAAAGAACAAAAGCGTGGAAAACTCAAATTTAGCACTACAGACGCAAACCTTGACACACAGTGCACAATAAAAATGCTATTTCTCCAACAGCAATGAAGACTGTGAAAAACAAGAACAGGCTAAACTTTAAAATTATATTACCTGTATAAAGAAACAAGTAACTACAGAATATTAAGAAGATCCAAATGAAAAGTCAGCATTTCCACATGAAAAGGCTGTAAATACCAAATCCATGAAACCATACACTGCCAATCAAAATCCCAACAGCAGGGACAATGCTCTAACATGGTGATTCTAAAAGTCATCTGGAAAACACACAGGCAAAGAGCTAAGAAATTTTTTGTAAAAGACCAACAAGGAGGGATTTAGCCAATTACCAAATCTTATTAATAAAGCAAGAAAATCTATTATTAATATCATAGTGACCTTCCATTCACCTAAATGACAAGATTGAAATCATTAAAAAATATCCAGCAATGGCAAATGGAGGAAAAGCCATCTACACACAGTAATAGTAAGGAAGACAATCCGTGACACAGACCATCTTTGCTGGAATCTGTCCTAAAAAGATTCACACAAATCAGGACAGATATCATGCACAGGGATGTTGTGAAACAAGCAGTCCTGCCCACTGAACAAACTCAAGACCTCCAGAGGAATGCCTGGCAGCTCTCAAGCCCAGACCCCCTGGCCCACAGCAGGAGGGCTGTCCTCCACCTCAGTCACTCACGGGACCACGGGGCCCAGAGGGTGACCGGGTGCTCAGCCCCTGCGGCATCTGGGGCCCGAAGACAGCGGGTATTCCGGCTTGAGTGGCAGGGCACCCATGTCCAGGGTGTCGATCTACCTAAGGCCACTCTTCCGCCTGCCTCGCAGGCAGAGGCACCTCTGCCGAAGCACCCACACTTCGGGAAGCTCACCACTTCACAGAGCGGGAAGCGTGTAAGAACATGGGAACCTGCTGAGCCTTATTCCCATAAATTACAGCCTCCACCAATCAATGTTGACTGATCTTTCTTCACCCGACAATATTCAGGGTGGTCCAATGGTTAAGAATCTGCTTTGCCGTGCAGGGGACGCGGGGTTCACTCCCTGATCAGGGAACTAGGATCCGACATGCCTCCAGGCAAGTAAGGCCATGCGCCACAACTAGACAGTCTGTGCACCCCGACAGAAAGATCAGTAAACAACAGGATAATGTCATTTAAAATGCTGAAAAACAGTAAGAAACAACAAAAAATGAGACAACCAAATCACCTGGGGAGAAACGATAAAATGTATTATTGTACATTTACAATGTGGAATACCGTATGGACATTAAAGTCTCTAAAATGTATATAAACTGGTATATATATGGCTATCCATGAAGTACTTCTGAATGGGGGTAAACAGAACAAGTTGCAATCAATAACTTTAACACTCACAATCCTTGACTAAAAAATGTAATCAAAGAAACACCAAATATATACTACAGAAAAATAAAAATAAAGTTAAGCAATGCTCACCACACAAGACTAGAAAAAGCACTGTGGTAAATTCTAACCAATGACGAGAAATTTTTTCTTCAGGTATCCAAATGAATGAACACAACCAAAACTTCAGCTCCCAAAAGCTGTGTTTCTTAAGTGATTGTTTATATAGCAGAACAAATTTTTAAAGATTTTTGAAACGTGAAGATTTTTTGAAACAGAGGATAATTATAGCTATTCCTCTGCAAGATTCCAATCAACGAGGTATTAATGTACCCACTGATAGTCACATAAAAGTTAAACTTAAAAACTGAAGAAGACAATAACCTCAGAAAAAGACAAGTAGAAAGACTGAAGGTAATTTAAAATCAATGGGCTTCCCTGGTAAAGAATCCGCCTGCTAATGCAGGAGACGCAGGTTGGATGCCTGGGTTGGGAAGATCCCCTGGAGAAGGAAATGGCAACCCACACGAGTATTCTTACCTGGGAAATCCCATGGACAGAGGGACTGGGTGGGCCACAGTCCATGGGGTCGTAAGAGTCAAACAACTTAGCACCAAACAACAACTATTTAAACTCAAAGGTTCACTGACATTTAGTGACTTTTACCCTCAAGTGTTCTTTTATTTAACCAAATCTTGCAGCAGTTAGAGAATATTACTGTTACTATTTTAAAGCAAAAACACGTGTAAAATATACAACATCACTCAAGTACTATTTGTATATTTGGCTTTTATATATAACCTTGCCTTCAAGGTATCTGATTTACTGTCAAAAGAGCTCAGTTTATGACACTTCCTTCTATATTTTGAAAATTGCTAAGTTATGCCCTTAATACGTTTTACAAACTTCTGCCTCCCATAGTAGAGACCAAAAAAAAATTCAGGAGACCCAAAGGAATGTGAGAGAAATAAGAACTAATACTAAGTAGAGAATACGCAAGAGGAACATTTTAGAAAAAAGGAAAAGGAGATAAAGTCCATGACAAAAAGGTAGTGATTTGTATACATAAAGCTCCCTTTTCCATCCTTCCAGGAGACCTTTTGAAATGCTCAGTCCAACCCAAAGCTACACTTAAGCCCCCTTAAGTTTACCAGATAACCTCACTTTAGACCTATGGCTCTCACTCACAGATGACTCTGTCCCCGAGAGGACATCTGGCAATGTCTTGGAGACAACGGGGCTGGGGGAAGGGACGGCATGCTACTGGCATCTGAAGGAGGTTAGGGTCTGCTAAACATCTGCAACACACAGGACCACCCCTCACAGGAAAGCAGCACTCAGGACACAAGCCGGTGAATGAAACTGGAGCCCATTATACAGAGCGAAGTAAGCCAGAAAGATAAAGACCATTACAGTATACTAACACATACATATGGAATTTAGAAAGATGGTAACGATAACCCTATATGCAAAACAGAAAAAGAGACTCCGATGTATAGAACAGACTTGTGGACTCTGGGAGAAGGCGAGGGTGGGATGTTTCAAGAGAACAGCATTGAAACACGTATATTATCTAGGGTGAAACAGATCACCAGCCCAGGTTGGGTGCATGAGACAAGTGCTCGTGCCTGGTGCACTGGGAAGACCCAGAGGGCTCGGGTGGAGAGGGAGGTGGGAGGGGGCACCGGGATGGGGAATACATGTAAATCCATGGCTAATTCATTTCAATGTATGACAAAAACCACAGCAATGATGTAAAGTAATTAGCCTCCAACTAATAAAAATAAATGAAAAAAAAAAAAAAGAAGCCCGGACTTGAAGGTCTCTAAAATAATCTGAGGACCAAAAACAAGAGTTACTCAACTCACAACCAAATCGAGACCCCGCTCCACCTGTACTCAGAGACTAGCCCTTCCTTCTGCTGAGTGCATGCGCTATTCACAGCCACGCCTTTCACGCTGAGGCCGGCACCCCTCTGCTTCTGTAAGGACACAACACCAGGCCTACAACAATACCCCTCCCTGATGAACATCTCTCCCACTCTACTGAATCCTATAGTGTACGCACTCCAGTAGCTTCCATCAAACACCAGTCACCACAAATAAAACACCCCTCCCTCAGCCCACCTCCTACTGTCCTGGAGGATGAAGCTCCCTGAAAAGCAGCCAGGATCCCGTCACTGCTCCCTCACCTTCCTGCCCACACTGAGCTCACTCCCACCTGATCACCCGCTGCTCCGTAGATTCAGTTCAGTTCAGTTGCTCAGTCCTGTCCGACTCTTTGTGACCCCATGAATCACAGCACACCAGCCCTCCCTGTCCATCACCAACTCCCAGAGTTTACTCAAACTCATGCCCATCGAGTTGGTAATGTCATCCAGACATTTCATCCTCTGTCGTCCCCTTCTCCTCCTGCCCCCAATCCCTCCAAGCATCAGGGTCTTTTCTAATGAGTCAACTCTTCACATGAGGTGGCCAAAGTACTGGAGTTTCAGCTTCAGCATCAGTCCTTCCAATAAACACCCAGGACTGATCTTTAGGATGGGCTGGTTGGATCTCCTTGCAGTCCAAGGGACTCTCAAAGGTTTTCTCCAACACCACAGTTCAAAAGCATCAATTTTTTGGCGCTCAGCTGTCTTCACA